CGTTGAATAAAAACAAGGCACATATTTTTATACACATAAAAATATGTATTTGGGACTGTTTTACTAAGCTTACTGTGCCATAAAAAAGTGTTTTCTAAGTTAACAACTGCAATACCTCGGTATTCCTAACTCGTAGTAGCTTGCTAGGTTGAGTTAATAATTTCAACTTAATTCTAGCAGTTTTAACATGAAAAAAACCTTTACGTAGATAAAAAACCTGAACAACTAAAACATAAAGTTTAAAAAGAACGTTTCTTCAGTGGCCACCTGACATCGTACAAGTGTATATGTAGATGAACTGTATCCTTACATTCAATCTGGTCATCTACTTCAACATTGGGCGATATTTTAACGGGTTCAGTCTCATTCCGAATGCTTTTCAAGTAGTGTGTATTTCTTAGACTGAAATAATTAAAACAGTAAGCTTTCACAGTGTTGCTAAGATTCGTTGTGATAGAAAGCAACAGGTTCGGACCCCAGAAGAATTTTCAGATTAAGGAATCACTGAAGAGAAATCTTGCCTTACTAATCTTTGTATTTATTTTTACATGTTATCTTGACTTGGTGTACTTAGATTTTCAAAAGTCTTTTGATAAGGTACCACACCAAAGATTAGCTAAGACTATTACTTCGGTAGGGGTTGGGTAAAGACTATTAAACTGGATTTTAGGGTGTTGGATGGAAGAAAGCAAAAGTTTGTTTAATAACGGCATGGCTCGGGGGTCTGTACTTGGACCTTTGCATATTCCTGTTTACGTTAATGATATTGATAGGGTCAAAATAAATAATGTAGTAAAATTTTTTGATTAAATCCCCCCCCCCCCATTGGCACAGCGGCATGTCTGCGGACTTACAACGCTAGAAACCGGGTTTCGATACTCGTTATGGGCAGAGCACAGATAGCCCTTTGTGCAGCTTTGTGCTTCACTACAAACAACCAAACCTGATTAAATTATAATATTGGGTACTTCTAGCTATATTGGTGGATCAGTTCATAAATTAGACAAATATTTAGCGAAGGACCTTTAATTATAGTAAATACAAGCTAGTTATGTATTTGGATTATCGTAATTTCTATCATATGGGTGGGTATGTGTATAACGTTGTTCTTTCATTGGTCAAGTTCTTTTAAATTGTTTGGTGAAAATAATTCGAAGTTCAGTTCACGTATCAATGACAAATTAGTTTATTTCTTCCTTAACAATCTGCAGGCTTGTACGCTGTTGCGCTTGTAGGCATATGTTTACAAATGACGTTTAAACGGAAATACCTCGATAATGATACTAGGTCTAACGTAGAAGTAAACTTACTTGTACAATTTCACGGCTAACCGACCGAGTTACTGAATGTACGCGATAATTAACACTCATATAAATACTTTATTGACACTAAACACGTCACTGCTGTAAACTGACTGCCTGGCTGCTTGCAGATTTTCGTATTTATAACAATCTTGTTTCTAGATACTTCTCAAAGTCTCTTGATCACTATACTCTCGAACGTTCTAGGTATTCTATTACTAATTTAACGTCATGAGTCCTCTAGCAAACATCCAAAGTAAAACTCTGGAAATATAATAGCTTACAATATGGGATCTTGGCTGGTACATAAGTCACTCAAGCTTTCGAAATAATGCTCTGTTGCAAGTAGTTAGGCTACTGGAACTTTAGTGTATTCTATAGACAGTTAATAATATATATACAAATCACCACTTCCGGTTCACTTCGAATATTGTGTACAGCTTGATCTCCTTATCTAAGAAAGGACAGTGACTTATTGGGAAAAGTTTAGAAAGGGGCTGTAAGTATAGTTTCAAGGATAATTTAAGATATCTTAACTTTCTCTTGAGAAGAGAAGGTAACAGTTGATCTTATTGATGTTTTCAAGATTAACGATAGATAAAAGCCTCAATTTCTTTGAGCTAGGCTTTCCTTTTATTATATATATATATATATAA